TACAGGGACATTTTGATGTAAACATCCTCTTCTCTCTCTCTCTCTCTCTCTCTCTCTCTCTCTCTCACACACACACACACACACACACACACACACCATACTATTAGTGGAGATCAAGGTGATCTGCCATGCTCAGAACTCCAGGAATGTGAAGAAAAGCAGAAAGATTTTCTTTTGCCGTTTAGATTTTTCAGGAGAACGGAAATGTAGTTCAATAAGGCAAAATGATCCAATGACAGCACATTATGCTGTGTGCAAACATGACATATTTAATTAATATCACACTCTCCTTTTATAAGTCACCTAAGATTTGAGATTGGATAATTACCTTTGTACAATGTACAGCTGCTAAATTTCTCAGGTAAATGGTACCCTATGCACATCACAAACAACTGCATTTATACTAGAACATTTGTAAATGTCAGGCCACGGAAGAGATTTTTTTAAAAAACCTATTGTGTGTGTGTGTGTATACAAATCAGTTGTTTGTTATTTTGTGGGATTTTTTTTAAAGAACGCATTTTGAATTCTTACAGATAAAGCAAGGCCTCGGTGCCTCACACCTATGCAGTAATCAAACACGATTAAAGGCAGAACAAACAACCAAAACCAGCATTAAATAGATCACGGATTTGCTTGTGGGTCTGTAACAGATGCTTTGTTTATCCAGTTGCAAGTCTGTCAAAAAGAATCATTCCTGTGATGCTGCTTATCACACTTTTAATTCTGCTCAGGCATAATGGTTTGCCTTGAAAAAGCATTTTTTTTGGCCCCATTCTATCTCACTGCCCAGCATTTCAAAGCAGCAGAATGTCTCTCTCTCTCTCTGTATGTGTGTTTAAATGCCCTTTTAATCAGATTACCCTTGGCGAATGTCCCAAACTCAGGCTGAAGTGCAGTGCTTGTGGTTTCTCAGCAGCTTACACTAAGCCTGCACCATGGAAATAATCTACTTTTAAAACCCAGGAAACAAATCAACTGCACTAAGGACATAAGTCACTGTCATTAGGGAATGATTAGGCTAAACATTTTTATACACTCTGTAGCCCACTTCCATGTAGCGCATGATCTGGGTACAGATAGAAGAAAAAGACACCGGTCAATGGATTTTCGTTGACTTGTTTGACTGTTTCATACCGAAGAAGAACTTGGATCTTTGCACAAATTCATTCTAGTTTCCCTATGAATTTGAGCATAATACACACAAACACACCAGGCTTTATTTTAATATAATTTTTTCAAAAAACAAACCAGACTTTAAGCCTCTTGTCTTGCCCTTAAGGTATGGGAGCTTATGGAGAGGAGGCAGCCTTTTCTAAAGCACCAAGTATATTTCAGGCTAATAATAATAATAATAAGAGTTATTACTATCAACATCAACATTCTAAATTTGTTTGGCTAGGCATTAACCTATTACAAAAGTCCTGTCAATGGATATTCACTTATTGTTTTATTCAAACCCTTACTTTCTTTAGTTCATTATTTAGGAAATGTTCTGTTTCACCCTTTTTCCATTGTATTTCAGCTTCCGTTATGTCAGTTCCTGCCTGACCCCAGTAATGAAAATATTTACGTAGAAATTCTTTTTCTCCCATTTCCCTTAATTTTTCTGAAGGCAATGAAAGGGGGGAAAGAAATGTTTGATGTGACTGTCTAATCGAATGATGCGGCATGTGAGGCAAGCTTGCTAATTTGGAGCCCACACATCCCAAGGAAGAAACAATTGAGATGGCAAGGGGTAATGAATGATGAGGAGCCTTATTTTCCTCCACACGACTGACTGCAGATCTGACGCAGATGAGATGTTCAACTGGGTCAGGGAACCAGCCTGGTTGGTCTACTATTGAGCTTCGGTTTGGACATTCTGCAGAGGGGATCATTTCTAATTTATGAAACATGTCGTTAATCCTCCGTTTGTCAGAACCTTCTTGACAAGAATGCAACCTGACAGTTGAAATATTAATATTTATTAAATACCCTTTTCTTTTGGACACTGCAGGAGAATTGCGTATCAGTGGCAAACATCATCTAAGTCCTTCCCAGCCAATGAAGGAAGGAAGGAAGGAAGGAAGGAAGGAAGGAAGGATCACAAGGCCAGTCAACTCAGTGGAAAAAAGTACAAGGGAAGGAGCAATCAATTACTTAGCGTAATCCTTGAGAAAGGCTTCGTACTATGTGTGTATAAAATACTCCTCTTTCAAAGCATATGTTTTTGCACTCTTTCTATCCCTCCCACTCCCCCCCCCCGTCTTCTTTCCAAGCTCATAAATAATGCATAGGCTGATAAATATGCAATTTCAAAAAGTGCAGACACCGCAGCACATCAAAAAAAAAAAGGGGGGGGAAGGTTTGTGCTTTTCACACACAAGACCTGAACTGCACTTAACAGATGACACATTTTCCAGAATTAAAAAAACAACAACCCTGCCCTTTAATATCTATCTATCTATCTATCTAACTATCTATCTATCATCTATCATCTATCTATCTATACACACATGCCAGTGCTAGGGTCTTTTGAGTGTTACTGGCCTGGTTTCTTGTCTGAAATATTGTGAATTACATGTGCAAGAATGTAATGCAAAAACAATTATTTTTCTTTTCTTTTTAAAAAAATCACATTTAAATCTAATCTAGATTATCAATTCATTGCAAAAAAAATTTGCAAATTTGTATTTGACTGCAAGTATCCTATGTACTGTACACCATTCAGTAGATAAAGACCCACAAAGGCCTCCTTTTACTAGGCTCTCTCTCTCTTGCTTTCTCTCTCTCTCTCTCTCTCTCTCTCTCTCTCTCTCACCAACTCACCCACCTACACCCACCCCTTTAGTAATAACCATAATTAAATCACCCTTGGAAATTATTTCAGGAAGTGCTTTAACAGTATATGGTTTTGCTTGCTGCTCTCAAGCAGGTAAAAGCCTCCCAAATACCATATATATATATAAGGCTCTGTTCCAGTAACAAGAAGCCGAAAACACCAGCCTGAAGATGACGAGTGAGACCTCGTCGAAACGTCGCCTAGACACCCCAACTTTTACACGGGAAGACACCCGAGGACACCAAAACCTGCATTCCTGTACCCGTGAAAATCTACGAAAGCATATATATATATATATATATATAGTTCCATTTTGTAGACTAATTGCTTGAATACAGCACTGAAACAAAATGGTGGATTCTCTTTTCCACCCTAACTCAGCTCAGTGCTGACACAACAACGTGGAAGCATGAAAATGGCGCTCTAAGAACACTGGACATAAAATCAGCATAACACAAAAAGGCAATATTTTTTTTAAAAAAAATACATGCATACAAGTGCACTGAACAATAAGAATTCACTGTACAGGTTTTGTGTTGATTTTGCTACTTCAGTTTTGCAACAGTTCAAACATAAAAACGGTTTCCTTCTGTGAAGGGTGACCTTTTGGATGAATACTTAAATTGAAAACACCCTGGGTAAGAAATAGACCACAGCATTTAATTTGGGCTGGCTAGTTGGATGCCTATATATGTACTGTACAATAATTTCAAATTTAATTAAATCACACTGCTGACGCCAGTGATCTCGACACTGTAAGGATGATTAATTGCATGCTTAAATGAAATATAAAGCTGCCTTTAAAAAGTAACATCAGTGCAGAACCCCGAGAAAGGCAGTCTCTGATAGATTTACGAACAAGTGCCTGGTTGTGTCTCCTGTCACTGTTAGGAAATGGGCCCTGCATAGGAATCGAAGAGCTGCGCCAAAAAGATAGGCTTTGATGTGGGATCCTTACTGCAAGGCGATTTTGAGCGAGCAGCCCTTCCCAGACATCTCCTGATATGACTTCCTATCTTGCCGGAGAGTTTTCACAATTTGCATTGTCATCGTACGGAATGGCCCACACTCGGTATACAAACAAGATCTGACACACTGTAATACTGGGACTCTCCTGTCACAGCAAAGCAGCTGGACTGTTATATATACCACTTTGCTTCCATTGTATTTCAATTCAGAGCAGCAGCAGCACAAAGGGCCTGACAGGGCTAACCACGGATTGTCACCTTGATTTGTCCAGTCTAGCCGATATGCAGAGGGGAGGGAATTAGATTCTCCTGCTTATGAAGACAGCAGAGAAACAAATAAGCTTACGTATGACGTTTCCAAAATTATGCTATCTGAGAATCGTGAAGCAGCTCTGTGGGCGCTACGTGGCTCGACAGGGGGAAGAAAGGCTCTGTGAACCTATTCCAAAAGACAACTCTATAGCAATATATATTAACTAACTCTGCGGGACAGAAGGAAGAACCATTTGTACCAGGCTTAGCACTGATTCTTGGTGAATATAATGGTGCATTTGATGACAGCTTCCCATCCTACATGCAGTGCTTTTTTTTCTAAAAAAAGAAATGTTGAGGGGTACTCTCATTTTCCTACTCATATTGAAATACTGTCCCTCAATGAGGCCAAACTTAGATTCACAAGATGTTTAGGGGTATGCGCACCCCCAGAAAAAAAAGCACCGCCTACATGTAAATTATTTGGGGCACAGATCCTGGCCACAATCCAGAGAACATTTGGAGCAGCTCAAGGTTTCAAATGTGTTATTCAAAGCTCTGATGCTGAGCATTTAGGGCACAAGCTTGTTCTCATGCATGTGGATGTATATTAGGGTTGCCGGGCACAAAAAGGTGTTAAGCTTTTTTATTTGGGGGGGGTGTGAATTTCCATGCAGGGATTGTATTTACTGCATTGCAGTCCATGCCTCCTACTGTGGAATGCACATGATGGGCTAGGTATGGTTTTGTACACAGCAGCGCACCGTGAACAAGCTGGTGCAAGCGGGTGTCCTTTGGCCAAGTGCACGGTTGGCCCTGTCAGCTGCGGCAGACCTGGCAACCTTTTTTGAGGTTCCCTCTCCCGTGCTTCATCCAGGCTTTCAAAGCTGGAAATGCTAAACATACGTATAGTGGTGCATGCGCAATGTAGGAGCACTGTCTGTGCACCGCCCAAGTTCTCAATGCAAGGATTTGTTTATTTTTACTACACAGTACTTTTGTGCGCACGCTCATGGAACTGATCCCGAGGACCAATCCATGTACAGAATCCCATATCTGTTCTCAAAATGCCTCTGCCAGATTGGGGCAGTGGGGTTTTCACAAGATACATATGCAGGCAAACCACTATGCTAAGTGCATCTACAAAAGGACCCACATGTGCACCAGCATGTAAAATGGTATTCATAGCACATTTAAAACGTTTACCCACAAATTATTATTTTTTAAATGTAAAATACAACTGTTAATTTACAATACTTCCAAGGAATTAAAAAAATAAAATAAAGGAAAACATAAAAGTTCCATCAAGTGCTGCAAAGAACTGTGTGTGTGTGTGTGTGTGTGTGTGTGTGTGTGAGAGAGAGAGAGAGAGAGAGAGAGAGAGAGAGAGAATGGGATTTTCCAAATCTATGATTTTGTAAACAAGATGGTTTTTGATGGTACAGGATTTTAAAATCGCCATTTGCCTGCGCTGCATCTGCTTCTTTTGTAACGGCATCTGATGTCTACCCTCATGCAATTTTGTGACATCTGAAAGAAAATTTTAGGAATTATTCCATGACCATTCACACTAGTCAAGGCCACTGGAAAAAAAATAGGATTACACCAGAGTAGGCAATTATTGAACTGCCACAATTTGAGCGCCTGAAATCTGACTTCTGCTGCTTATCAGCTGAAGCAAATTCTTAGAATAAATAAGCAGTATACAAAAACAAGGAAAAACAATTATTTTTTGAAAGGCTATTCTACAAATATTTGTTCAGCTTATTTTTGTTTTGCTGGGTTTTTTAAAAAAATAAACAGTCCAGTTTATTTAAGTCCAGGCTTTATTTAAGTATATTAAATAAATAAAAATAAAAACCCTAACATATAGCTTTCCCCTAGAATGTACAAAAGCCTTGTCTCTAAAGAAAACACTTTCAGAAATGCCACCTTTATTCATCTCTTTATTTATGAGGTCAGGCTTTATCAGAAGATGCACTGTTACCCATTACAATAATCTGTTCGTTTCTGAGCATGCAGTATTTTAAACAGGCATGGAAGGCTAAGCGTATGTAATGTTTGTCAGGTCCCTGCATTGAATTGTAAATCAAGTGATCTCGCAGTTGTATGTGTGTTTGGTTCCTCCATTTCCTAGTTCTATCAATAGCGGTTAAACATATACCAAAATGCAACATGCTGCTCTTATGTGTCTGAACCATACGTGATGAGCTACAGCAGGAAAAAAAATACAAAATAAAAGCTTACCCATATATGGTAATGCTAACATGTATCCATCCATTCATGGTACAGGTTTCAGCCCATACGATATCCCTTCACTGCCATCTATCTATCTATCTATCTATCTATCTATCTATCTATCTATCTATCTATCATCTATCTATCTATCATGATCATGCAAAAAAGAAGAAGAAAAGAAGACCCACATTATCTATATAGCAAAATTGTTTAGGGAAACCTAAAAGCACAAAAAGAACCATTTATTGTCCAAGGAGAAAATTGTACAGATTTGTCTTTCCACAGAATTCTAGGCAGCCAACCATAATAGCTCTTTGACAGTTCACCTGACTGCAGTGGGAATGGTGTGTGTGTGTGTGATGCTTATGGTGGGTGACAGAAAGGGGCCATTTGAAGTGCCATTATGCAGTTTACATAAGATGATTTCAGCAGATTTCATCTTTATCCAGTTATACTATCTACATTTGGGAAGATTTATCTAATTGTGCACGGCTCATTAAAAAATAAAATAAAAGTTGTGTTCTTTTCAGAAGATGGTCGCATTCTGTGTTTAAAGAAGGGATTTTCTCCTTGACTTTGGCATCCTGTTTCCCGATAAGAGCCAGACAAACAGGGTTGCCCATGATGGTCCTTATTTGAAAAGGATGCGGTGTTTTTTTTACAGACGCAGCTATAAATGTGTCCATTTACATAATGGTTGGGACAAGCACATTTTAGCTTCTTGTGGGAAAAAAGAATGTACTGAAACATGCTTTCGATTTAAATCAGTTTCAACCTCGAATGGGATAAAGAGGTTCTATTTAAATTCCACAACAGAAGCTCAGGCCCTGACCAGTCCTGTTCGTCTAATTGTTTCAGGTGAAGCCTGTGGGACTCCAGATAAAAGTAATAACTTCTCAAATCATTTAGGGTTTGCAAGGCCAGATTATTAATCCTTTAATAGTCTAAATGACTTCAGAATAACTTTGGAGACACCCATCCCTGACAGCATTGGCACAATATGATTATGGAAACAGTTAATCTTAGAAGGCTGATAGGCTAAATCTGTTAGTATTGTTTGCAAATTGGGGGGGGGGGGATAAAATAAAAATTGCAATAAAACATGAGTGAGTGATGATGTTTGGAAGGGGGAAAGTTTTGTACTCCAAATAATCTACAAAGCACAATGGTTTGGGAGTTTTGTACAGCCTTATCCTATAACTACGGATGGAGCATATATTTTATGTACAAGGTATCTATATATTCATATCTTACCCCAGTCTCTATTGTTAATGTGTTTGCCAGAGTGTGGAAAGCAGGATAGGAAAGGCTAGGCACGAGGTGCATAGAGATGAACAGAAATCACTTCACATTACAGATAAGTATGACAAGCTCTATTTTTTTATATATATACCAAGATAAAGTTTCTTAAAACAGAATGGCATGATATCTGAGTAAGTTTGAATCTCTTCCCAGTGATGACATGAAAATAGATGCTTATTAATCCTGTGTTTTGTAAATAATTATCCACAGCTTTATGGAAACCATCACATAAATCTGATTTTTTTTCCTTGAGCATATTTCTGTTTGAAAGACAGTTTTCCTATTACATGATTTAGGTGGATCGAGGATTCAAAACATACTAATGTGCAAATGATGCAAGACTGCAAGCTTTAAAGATGCTGTGTAGTCTTTTCAAAATAACATCTTGGGCAAGATAAAACAGAGCGGCTGCATTCCATGGGTAGTATATTATAATGGTCTAGTTCCCACCAACAGATAAATAGTTAATATATGTATTCAATATTTTTTTTTTTTTTATAAATTTTTATTGGTTTTACAAAATTTTAAAAACAAACAAACACTTAAAAAGACATACAAACACGCATAATTTCATATTGTTTCTCATAACCCTCTTTTCTGGGACTCCCCCATACCCCCCCCTTTCTGCATCCCAATGTCCATAGTTTTATAGCAACTCCCAATATTACTTTCCAACCTCTGTCCTTAGTTATCTCTATAATCTGACCTTATATCGCTGTATCCCTTTGTTTCTGAAAACCATAACATTCTAACATTCATCAAGTTTATAATAGTCCTTAAGATAACTTTTAAATTTTCTCCATTCTTCTTCCACCGTCTCTTTTCCTTGGTCACGGATTCTGCCTGTCATCTCGGCCAGTGACATATAGTCCATCACTTTCATCTGCCATTCTTCCAGAGTGGGTAAGTCTTGTGTCTTCCAGTACTTTGCGATAAGTATTCTTGCTGCTGTTGTAGCGTACATGAAAAAGGTTCTATCCCTCTTTGGCACCAATTGGCCGACAATGCCTAAGAGAAAGGCCTCTGGTTTTTTAAGAAAAGTACTTTTAAGTACCTTTTTCATTTCATTATAGATCATTTCCCAGAAAGCCTTAATCTTCGGGCATGTCCACCAAAGGTGATAGAAGGTTCCTTCAGTCTCTTTACATTTCCAACATTTGTTATCGGGCAAATGGTAAATTTTTGCAAGCTTGGCTGGGGTCATGTACCACCTGTAAATCATTTTCATTATGTTTTCTCTTAAGGCATTGCATGCCGTAAACTTAACACCGGTGGTCCATAACTGTTCCCAGTCAGCAAACATAATGTCATGACCAATATCTTGTGCCCATTTAATCATAGCTGATTTCACCGTTTCATCCTGTGTATTCCATTTCAGCAACAAGTTATACATTCTTGATAAATTCTTAGTATTGGATTCTAACAGTTCAAACTCTAGTTTTGATTTTTCCACCTGAAAGCCAATTTTCCTGTCCTGTTTGAAAAGCTCCATTATTTGATAATATTGAAGCCAGTTTTGTACTTTATGTTTCAATTTGTCATAGCTTTGTAGTTTCCACTTATCTCCATCCTGTTCCAAAATTTCCCAATACTTCGGCCATCCGACCTCCATATTGAGTTTCTTTACTGCTTTAGCCTCAACCGGTGACACCCATCTAGGGGTTTTGTTTTCCAACAGGTCTTTATACCTTATCCATACATTAAACAATGCTTTTCTAACAATGTGATTTTTAAAGGCACTATGCTGCTTGATTTTGTCATACCATAAATATGCATGCCAACCAAAAACATTGTTAAAGCCTTCCAGATCCAAGATGTCTGTGTTCTCGAGGAGCATCCATTCCTTCAGCCAGCAAAAAGCTGCTGCCTCATAGTACAATTTTAAGTCCGGCAGGGCAAAACCCCCTCTTTCTTTGGCATCTGTCAATATTTTAAGTTTAATTCTGGGCTTTTTGCCCTGCCAGACAAATTTCGAGATATCTTTCTGCCACCTCTTAAAGCATTCCATCTTGTCAAGAATCTGCAAGGTCTGAAACAAAAATAACATTCTAGGCAATACATTCATTTTAATCACTGCAATTCGGCCTAACATTGACAATTTCAGATTTGACCATATTTCTAGATCTTTTTTAATCTCTGACCAACATTTTTCATAATTATCCTTATACAAATTCATATTTTTAGATGTCAAATAAACCCCTAGGTATTTCACCTTCTTAACCACCGTCAACCCTGTCTCCTCTTGGAATTTCTCCTTTTCCATTTCTGTTAGATTTTTACCTAAGACTTTAGTTTTTTGCTTATTCAACTTAAATCCAGCTACCTGGCCAAACTGTTGAATTATTTCTAAAACCTTTTTCGTACTAGTGTTTGGCTCTTGCAAAGTCAATACTAGGTCATCTGCAAATGCTCTTAACTTATAATGTTTAGCTCCGACCTGCACTCCTTTAACCTGCTGGTCATCCCTAATCATATTCAGCAACACCTCCAGAACCGAAATAAAAAGTAATGGGGAGATTGGGCACCCCTGTCGTGTTCCTTTTTCTATCTTAAGTTCCTCAGTTATCACATTATTTACAATCAATTTGGCTTTTTGTTCAGAATATATTGCAGCTATACCATTCTCAAAACCTTGTCCTACCCCCATCCCCTGAAGATTCTTTATCATAAAACTCCAGGAAATATTGTCAAAGGCTTTCTCCGCATCCACAAATATCAATACTGCTTTAGTATTTATATTCACCTCTAGCTTTTCCAAAATATCTATTATATTCCTTACATTGTCTGCTAGGTGTCTTTTTGGGAGAAAGCCTGCTTGATTCTTGTGAATCTTTTCCATCAACACTTTTTTAAATCTTTTTGCCAAAATGTCTGCAAAGATTTTGTAATCCACATTAAGTAGTGATATTGGGCGGTAGTTCTTCAGTTGAGTCTTCTCAGTCTCTGTCTTTGGTATGAGTGAGATGTATGCTTCTTTCCACGATTCCGGT